CTAAAATGCCGGGAGCAAGGGTCTAGTAACCCCTTCTCCTGTATATATTACTAAATGTAAAAGAAGAAGCTTTCATTTTTCCTCTTGGGCCACCCCACCTCGGTGGGATACAGCCGGTGTGTTGAAAAAAGAAAGATTCACGCCTGTCTTACCTATTACAACGAGAACACCGTACATTACCTATCACAATGAGAATAAGCTGTGTTATCTATCACAATGGCAACACCTTGTGTAACCTATCACAATGACAACACCCTGTGTTACCTATCACAATGACAACAACACGTGTTACTTATCACAATGACAACACCCTGTGTTACATATCATAACGACAACACCCTGTGTTACCTATCATAACGACAACACCTTGTGTTACCTATCACATTGACAACACCCTGCATTACCTATCATAATGACAACACCCTGTGTTACCTATCAAACATTCCTGGGCATCACAATCTATAACCTAGTGCAACCTTCATGAAATTTCACCATAAATATAGGATAATTTGGATTATCAAGAAGAGAATGCTACATTACTTCATCTTGCTATCAGCAGAAGTATAAAATACTGTAGACCATTGATTAAAATGCAATCTATTAACACTTGACATAAAATAGTTGAAAATTTTGACCTATTTTCTATGAGCAAGCCATATTTATCAGTTAGTATGGAGTAAATTTGGGGAAAATACTAGCATGAAGGCTAGTAACTGATAATTTCACTATTACTATTTATTCCTGTGCCTTTAGGTGCATTTATACAAATGCTGAAGATGTTAGTGAGTGATAATAAAGAGTGAAGAGTACACTAATTAAATGAGAAAGTGAAGGGATAATCTTGTGGCACTGCCATGATGAATGTTTGTGTCTGAAGTGCTTGTGTCTGAAGTTCATAGGGACACCACAGCATATACCATTTATATATACAGTGGTCTCTGGAGTTACGGTATTAATCCATTCCAGAAGACGTACTGCGCCTCCAAACTAACTTAACTCCAACCTCACAATATATGGTTATATGGTAATTCATTACAAGACTCTGGGAGTGTAACTTTTACTGCACCTTGGATGTGCAAGCCCAGATGTACTTGCAGGCACTGTATCTCCCTTCATCTGCTTCTCTCTTATCCACAAAAATAACAGTCTTTCCATCTCTATGAACTTCTCTGCCTTTTTTCACCAGGTTAGATTCATCAGCCATTTTAAAATTCTTTATTTCCATTTGCTTGACAATAGCAGAGAAATGGCCTGTTTACTGTGCACAATGACTTGGTAATGCAAAAGATGGTTTAACAGTTGTGGAACTACCTGTCTTATGTTTGTACATGTATCATACAGGGACACATCAACTTTTGCTAAACATTTCTATATAAACAAGCAATGACAACTATAATGTAATAAACAGAAATCTTAATTATTTTTGAGTCATAATGAATTACAAAGCTTTAAAAAATCTATCTACAATTTCTTGGAGTGTATGAGGAATGTAACACTATTTTTCCCATGTGTTCTTCAGCTTATTTTTATATGATTTTATAATTACATGCCATTTTCAGGAACTTAACTACTGTGTTAATCAATGGTTAACTGTACTGAAAGACAATGTTCAAGAGAAAACTGGACCATTACTTTCCATACATTCAGAAGCACCCTTGAAACAGATCACAGGCAGAGTGTGTCTAACAGGTATACACACTTAGAAGCAGAATCATTAGAGTATCAGCTAGTCTTTTACTGTGAAATGCAGCAAGAAGAGGAAGGCTATCAATGAGGAACCTCACAGTCTCTAGATAAAATCTATACTTTTGAATTCTCATACTTACAAATGCATTTTTTCATGGGCCACAAAAATTATTGCATTATTTTATTCAACAATCAAATGAACTTCTTGGATATAACAGTGATTACATTACTTAGGAGAGAGAATCTATACCTAGCCTGCATGTTATTGTTTGATAAGAAAAAGAATAGGGAGAAAGGGAAAATAGGAGATAAAAGATAAAAAAAAAGATAAAAAAAAGGAGAAAAAGAAGAGAGAAAAAGTGAGCAAGTCTAAGGAGTGTAGCATGATGAGAGTGCCTGACAACAAGACTGGCTGATGATGCCAGTGTCTGAATATTTATTCTAACTTGCTATTTCAAATGAATGTGCTATTCCCACATATTCTACTAACATGATGTATTAAGCATGTACACCTATACCAAACCCCTTCTCCTGTATAAATTACTAAATGTAAAAGGAAAAAAATCTTTTGCTTCTTTTGTGGGTCATCCTGCCTTGGTGGGAGACAGCGAATGTGTTAAAAAAAACTTATATCAAAAATCTTTTGGTGGTAATACTGTGTGCATTTCAAGCCTAAATTTTAGTATCATTCATCACAAATTTATTTCCCAAATACAACAATGATATATCTGTTCAGTACAGTAAATATAACACCTCATCTACGTGATAAAAACAGCTAAGGAACAGAATAAAGAATGACAGAAAAAAGTGAGGAAGTGTGGCACGGTGATGTTGCCCTAAGCCACTGAAGATGATGTTTCGTGACATAGGCTGGCTGAGCGTCTGCACATTAAATACAAATTATCCAGCTTTAATGTGGAATTACAAAATGACTACTATGTAATTCCCCACATTCCTCTACCCTTATGATGCTAAAATCTCCTACAATACAGTGGACCCCCGCATAACGATGGCATCACATAGCGATTATTTCGCATACCGCTTACTTTAATTGCAAAAATTTTGCCTCGCATACCGCTTAAAAACCCGCTTACCGATTTTCGTCCGAGACGCTTCCAATGTGCGGCCTGAGCCACGCTCACATGTTCCGCCGGTGGCATTGTTTACCAGCCAGCCTCCGCAATAACATCCAAGCATACAATCGGAATATTTCGTATTATTACAGTGTTTTCGGTGCTGTTTCTGGAAAATAAGTGACCATGGGCCCCAAGAAAGCTTCTAGTGCCAACCCTGTGGTAAAAAGGGTGAGAATTAGTATGGAAATTAAGAAAGATTTTGAAGGGTTTGGGGCTAACCCTGAGAAGCCTATGCCAGTTGTGGAATCCATTGTGCCTACTTCAAAAATTAAGGAAATGTGTGCACAGTGGGTTGAACTGCAAACCTTTATGGATGAAAATCACCCTGACACAGCTGTTGCAAGCCGTGCTGGTGACTATTTCAATGACAATGTTGTGGCCCATTTTAGACAAATCGTAAAGGAACGGGAGGTACAGAGCTCTATGGACAGATTTGTTGTGCGACAGAGGTCCAGTGACTCTCAAGCTGGTCCTAGTGGCATTAAAAGAAGAAGGGAAGTAACCCCGGAAAAGGACTTGCTACCTCAAGTCCTAATGGAAGGGGATTCCCCTTCTAAACAGTAAGAAGATAATGCTCTCCCCTCCTCCCATCCCATCAATCATCACCAGATCTTCAATAAAAGTAAGTGTCATGTAAGTGTGCATGCCTTTTTCAGTTTGTGTGTATTAAAATTAACATTTCATGTGGTAAAAATTTTTTTTTTTCATACTTTTGGGTGTCTTGCACGGATTAATTTTATTTCCATTATTTCTTATGGGGAAAATTCATTCACATAACGATTATTTCGCATAACGATTACCCCTCTTGCACGGATTAAAATCGTTAACCGGGGGTCCACTGTACTTGCAACAAATCAGCTGCATTTTCATCCTAACCTAGCATCCACTACTAGGTGAATCATACAGAAATCTGTAACTACATATTCCTTTGCCTTCTATCCCACCCTGATTTACATCATAAGTACTGTACTGTGAATGTGTATGTACCATACATTAGAAAGATACCAACTACTACATTGAGTGGTAATGCAGACTTTATGCACAATTGGTTTATAGACTTTTCATAAAGTTGTTAAGGAGAACTCCTGGTCTAAAGATTACGAGTTTTTGGGATCAACCCCCAGTATGTTTAAAATGTTACTTTATTTTAACCCGTAAACGGTCCAAATGTATATATACGTTTTTTCAACATTTGAAAGTATGTAAAAAAAGTAGATCTTTTTGTTTTTCTACATTTGAAAATGTGTAAAAAGAACTTTGATCTACTTTTTTTTTTTGTTATATTTGAAAATATGTAAAAAAAACTTAGATCTACTTTTGTAGCACTACACATGTGAACGTAGATCTGCTTGGACCGTTTACGGGTTAACAAGTTTATTAATGAATTTTTGTCTAACTCAGTTATAGCATTATTATGCAATAAAAATATTAATTATTAATACATAAACACACACAAGAGCTTACTTTAAACTTCACAACATTCATATTAGACTTAGCCATTAAAATCTAGTCTCTCCTATAGATAAAAATTATATCATTAACCCTTAAACGGTCCAAACGTATATATACGTTCTCTCGTATAGTGCCCCAAATTTTGAGGAAAAAAAAAAAATTTTTGTTTAATAGGAAAAAAGAGCACATGGTACCCAGGCATCCCCAATTATTTTAATATGGCACACAGCGAGTGCGCATACCCATTCTCTCATGCCTAGGCGACTCAGGCTTATCGTGGCAATGTTGAATGAATAACAAAGAAAACGTATATATACGTTTGGGGTGCTACGCAAGAGAACGTATACAGTGGAACCTCAAATATCGAACTTTCTTTGGTCCAAAAGGCTGTTCGAGTGCCTATACTGAATGAATTTATTCCCATGAGGAATAATGTAAAATAGGGTAGTCCATTTCAGACCCTCAAAAATGCACTTATAAAAGCACTTACAAAAATACACTTACATAATTGGTTGTGTTGGGAGCAGTTCGATTTTTGAGGTTCCACTGTATATACGTTTGGACCGTTTAAGAGTTAAGAGGAGTCACACTGAAATTACAGTATGGTAAATTTGCATGGATGGATTAAAGGCTTGGCCTAGACATGACATGCATTCTCCTGCTCTCAAAATATGAGGCAAAAGACATGTAGACAAACAATGAATTACAGTTTTACATTATACTTACATCTTGTTCCTCTGAAGTGTTGGAGGTGGTGGTACTTGTGGAGATTTTCTTCTCTCTGGGAATCTGAATGTTCTTATACCATGGTTTCTTGCATTCAACTGTAGGTGGATGGAAGTCTCTATCTTCATATGGGTCCTGAGAATAGCATGGTTATTATTTCTCCTCGGCCTTAGTTTCCACATTAAGTAGCATATTCACATTTCATTAAATTATAAAAAAGTATAAATGCTCAATGACTCCATCCATCAGCTTGGACACACATCTGCACCTCTACCACTAAATGATTACTTTCCCATATTTTTCATATCTGAATTAATCTAGCTTAGATTTGTCACACTGAAGAGGGCTGAGGGCCTAACATAACATTTAAGAAGGCCTCAGACTGACTTTCTGTTGGCCAATTGCCAAATTTAAGAAGAAACTATCAATAAAGGCTCGACATACTCAGCAAGAGTTTTGAAAGTGTGAACACTGCGAATGATACCTAATTCCTTTATCTTCTGCTCATTATAAAGTGAGTGTGAGTGTGTGTGTATGTTTTTTTTTTTAGTGCATCGGCCATCTCCCACCGAGGCAGGGTGACCCAAAAAACAAACACTTTTACCATCATTCACACATAATCACTGTCTTTGCAGAGGCACTCAGATATGACAGTTTCCTTGAATCCCTTCACAAAATATTACCCTGCTCACATTCCAACATCTTGTCAGGTCCCAAAAAAACATTTGACTCCACTCACTTCTATCTAACACATACATGCCTTCTGTATATCCAAGCTCCTTGAACACAAAACCTCTTTTAACCCCTCCTTCCGAGAGAGAGAGAGAGAGAGAGAGAGAGAGAGTGTGAGTGAGAGTGAGTGAGAGTGAGTGAGAGTGAGTGAGAGTGAGTGAGAGTGAGTGAGAGTGAGTGAGAGTGAGAGTGAGAATGAGTGAGTGAGAATGAGTGAGAGTGAGAATGAGTGAGAGAGTGAGAGTGAGTGAGAGAGTGAGAGTGAGTGAGAGAGTGAGTGAGAGTGAGTGAGAGAGTGAGAGTGAGTGAGAAAGTGAGAGTGAGAAAGTGAGAGTGAGAGAGTGAGAGAGTGTGAGAGTGAGTGAGAGAGTGAGAGAGTGAGAGTGAGTGAGTGAGAGAGTGAGTGAGTGAGAGAGTGAGAGAGTGAGAGAGTGAGAGAGTGAGAGAGTGAGAGAGTGAGAGTGAGAGAGTGAGAGAGTGAGAGAGTGAGAGAGTGAGAGAGAGAGAGAGAGAGAGAGAGAGAGAGAGAAAAAAAAAAATTAAGTTAACAGAGACTAGGCCAAGTAGGTACTTACTAGGCCATCTGGGAAGACTGGCTTGCGGTTCAGGTTATACAGGAACTCCTTGATCTGACTGTTGAAGAAAGAATTATTAAAAAATGGATCCTTAAATTTGGTCTCATTCTTTTTTTTTTTTTTTCAACAAACCAACCATATCCCACCGAGGCAGGATGAGCAAAAGAGAAAAATGGAAATTCCTGTTTTTAAAGTTCGCAATTTATGCAGGATAAGGGGTTACTAGCACCTTGCTTCCTGCATTTTAGTCGCCTCTTACGACATGCATGGCTTACGGAGGAAGAATTCTGTTCCATTTCTGCATGGAGATCATTTATTAAATACTGCTTATAAATTATGATAATTATATAAAAACATTGATCTAATATTAACCATTAATTTTTTCAAGGCTAATAACGAGTTAATAGAGTACTGGTGTTGATGGACCAACACTGGTGGTCCATCAAGACCAGTATTGGTGTCCATCAAGACAAAAAAAATAAGTGTACCATAAAAAAACATTCACTATGGCAACGTTTTTCTCTTGTAAATCGCTTTTTCAAGTCATGAATCGAGCAAAACGTTATTACAACATTTTAACCCTTTCAGGGTCCAGAGGCCAAATTTCAAAGGGTGCACCAGTGTCCAAGAATTTTCAAAAAAAAAAAAATCGTTATTTTTTCTTATGAAATGGTAGAGAGTCTTTTTCTGAAGGTAATAAAACAAAAAGTACGAAATTTGATGGAAAATTGACAAAATTATGTTCTCGCAAATTTTGATGTGTCTGCGATATTTATGAATCGGCGATTTTGCCGACTTTGACTCCCATTTTAGGCCAATTACATTATTCCAGCCGACCAAATTCTTAGCTATTTCACTAGTATTACTTCTATTCTATCGATTGAGCACAAGAAATCACCTAGTCAACTGTTTCAACTACAAAATAAAGTGATCGGAAATTGGTAATTTGCCCAATTTAACACAAAGCTCAAAATATTCCAATTTCAAAATAGGGTCCAGAATAAACAATGCAGGCATTCCTGGCACTAAACTAACATTTCCTCTGCTCATTAGTTATGTTTTCAGGCATTACAAATGAATTCCATTTTGATTTTTTATTCACATAGAATTTTTATTCAAACCAAAAAATAGAAGATTTACTGTTATGCAATACTGTAATAATTGTATAAATATCATCATCACATTTGTGAATGTATATTAGACCCACCAGCTATCGTGTATTAGACGTGTGAGGTTGTTTGTTTACTCTTGAACATCAACAAAAATTTAACATTTCTGCTACTTTGAGCTCAGTTTCAAGCCATTTCCAGTACTAAAACCAATCAAAATCATCTCCATTTCTGTAATATGTCTTCCATCCTATCAAATGAGACCAAGAAATCACAAATAAAACTATAAAAAACATACGAAAAAACACTGCAAAGTCGCTGTTTTAATCGAAAATCACGGTCTCAGTTTTTTCTCATTATACACTGTGTGCTGCAGGATTTGTTTTATGTGGTGCACACGTACCACATAAATGTATTCTCTCATATCTAGGCCCAAATTTACCACTCACTGCTTATCAGAGTGAGCTGAGCTCATGGCGTAGATCTACGGTTTGGACCCTGAACATAAAGCCGTAGATCTACAGGACGGACCCTGAAAGGGTTAATTATGATATGCATACAGTACTGTATTTATGAAATATCTTAACCACCTATTCAATTTGGAAAATTCTAAAACAAAACACAAAATACAGTATCAGGGACCATCTGACCGTGTAATCAGCTTCAAATTTTCACCACTGATGTGGCTTCCTGAACAAAAGGCTCAGGCTGCAATGGGTGGCCTTAGTTCCATTTTGCTAATTTTATTGAATAAATAGTGATATTCATCTTTATTCAATAACTAAAGAAGGCTTCTTCTGACTGGCTTCATAACATTATTGAGGATATATTCTATAAGAAAGATGATAAACCACAAGTTGAGCCTGAGTAGGTGTAAATCTGAAATTTTACTGAAATAGTTAAATAACTTGGAACTAGAATCAGATCAATTACTAGAGACTTCCTTTCTTATCAGCTTCAAACTTCTACCACTCGTAGGTTTTACTAAAATAAAGTTTGTCATGGGTAGGGGGTGGTGGTGAGGGGGTAGGGGGGATGGACCTGCTTCACATGGATCAGCAGGCCTGCTGCAGTGTACCTTCTTTCTTATGTTCTTAATCATCTTCAAACTATAAATGCTGGTGTATCTATTTTTCAGAACATTCTCCACAACATTTTCATTTGTTCTCATGAATTTTTGTTAATTTCTTGAGAGTGATTTCCTCTGATTAAAATATAACAATTGTGAATGGCATTGTGGAAAATACTGTATATTTTCCAAAAATACAGTGTATTTTGTATGTAAATTAGTGAAACACATTGTAGTTAATAAAAATTAATTTGTCAATAAATAAAGAACCAGTGAATTGGTGAGCGTCGCTTGGGAGAGACGCCATTGTTTTGAACTGGGCTAAAGGCACGCGAGTGAAATGTGCATAAATTTCGTCGCTCTGGAGGTTAAATTGTGGTTGAAACCTCCCAAATAGGAGCAGACATTGTTGAAATTGCAGTCCTGCATAACTTGAGAAGGAGAGTGGACAGGATAGCCAGGGAACCCCAGCTAAGTGATGCCTATTTATGTTGAAATTCTGGCCAGTATTTTCTTCATATTTTAGGCAGGGGGTTTGTGTATGACACACCAAGTAATCTCCAGACTAACTGGTGAGTGGTATTAAGATAAATTCTCCTTCAATGTATATGTAGTCATTTATTAAAATTAACATACAGTCCACATATTTATATTAATGTTGTACCAGGATTCCTGGTGATGTATATTTCATTTAAAATTAATACAGGTCCAGAGTGACTTGTGGATATAGAAAGAGTGGAGTAGGTATCGAAGGGGGACATTTTTTGCGACCTAGGTGTCCTAAAATTCCTACATGTCTCTGTAACTTTGATAAAAAATAATTATCTTTGTTACCATTTACTGGTATGTATCTTATGAGGTTCATCCAGGTAATTTTAATTTTCCATAGGCATCAACCTTCAATGACTAATGCATCATGTGAAATGGGTTTAGGTAGTGTAAGTAAAATTCTGTTAGAATCTATGCAATAGCTGGAAAATGCATCTTCTGGTTAACTTCAAACAATTAGTGCAGAATTATGTCTTCCTTAAAGGGATCAACCTCTATGTTATGTGCATACAGCATCTGAATGACCTCAAGATCATTATTAAACATCTGTATGATTATGTACACTAGGATTACATAAAAGTTAATTTAATTACTCCTTAAAAGCTGGCCAATCTTATTTATTGAAAAGTTTGGATTGATTTTGGCCTGTGTAGGTCCTTTTTTTTATTAAGAAATTTAAATAATTGAAGAAATATGTACTGCTTTTCAAGTAATAATTTCTGAGTGTTTCACCTGATTAGCTTCAACCCTTCAATGATAACTTACTGAAACTTCTGAGTGGCTACAAGCTTAATGTGCTCGTGTATTTTTGGATATTGGTCTCTATAAAGGGTTTAAATTATATTTGAGCTATGTCCTAATTTATCGCTGTTAATGAAGATACTTGGATACCAGTTTCCATTAGCATCTTCAGTGCTAATATACAATTTCATTGTCAATTTATGCCACACGCTGCATTATTCCAATCGTGTACATCGACGGGACTGGGATTATGAAACAAAACACAGGGATGTGATAAATGGTTTTGAAAACCGACAAGTTGAAGAATTGAGACACTTATGCAACACATGGGAATCTTTATTGAAGAAACGTTTCGCCACACAGTGGCTTCATCAGTCCAATACAAAGTAGGAATGTACCGGACTGATGAAGCCACTGTGTGGCGAAACGTTTCTTCGATGAAGATTCCCATGTGTTGCATAAGTGTCTCAATTCTTCAAAACACAGGGATATCTTTCTGGATCGCGCAGTGATTGAAATACATACATCTAGTTTAAATTTTGGAGTGCAGAATATATAATAGTATACCTAAATGAAAATGATTATTGTACTGTACCCAACCTCTCGGTGACATTCATGCTATAAGAACAATGAACTAAATTTTTTACTACTTACTCCCATCCATATGTGCCGACCACAACCAGGATCAGTGTTACTGCAATGCAGACTGCAGCAATGATAAGAATGATCCACCAGGCCATCACTGAAAAAAAAAACAAAGATGCAGTCATTTGTAAACAGCAATAGGGAAGCCTATTCCTTTTACTGTCATTGATGTTTGTGATATACAATATTTACGCAGATATTTTAATCATAGGCAGGACAAGTGTTATCCTCCGCCCCACAAGAGCTATCCATATATGGATTCTATACCTCAAAATATTTAAACATTATTGAATGTCCGATTTTGCACTCTTAAAAAACTATTTCCATAAGGAAAAAGTTCCAATACGAGTACGGTACAGGTTTCAGTCAATTCTTTAAAGGACGTGCTGCCCATAAGAATGAAGTCAGAGAAAGGCAGCAGAGCTAAACACTACTGGGACATTTTACAATGTAAAGGCTTCTTTGAAGTCATTAGAATAAAACACTGTCCCAGTAAAAGCATCTGCTACACGCAGTTATCTTCAACATTTTGACTGGTAGAGGAAACTGTTCTAGGACGTACTGTAAGTACGAAATGTTTTTCATCTCTGGTATCAGAGCAGATAGCAGTCACAGGACCAAATGTGTTATCTCACAGTATGAGGCACAATTTTGAGCAATACAGTGTATACTAACTTTACTACAATAAATGGTTAACGCTGGCCATTTAACAGACTGAGCCCAGTAACACTGGGAGGAGGTATGTACGTTATGGAGAGGGAGAGAAAGAAAAAGGGATAGGAAGGGTTAAAAGGGGGGAGAGGGAAGGGAAGGAGGGAGGGAGAAGGGATGGAAGGGCAAAACCTGAAAATTTAAATCTCAAATATGTTCAAAATATGACACGATAATAATACATTATTATTATTATTATTAATAATAATAATAATAATAATAATAATAATAATAATAATAATATACATTAATATTGGATTATTTTGGTATATGGTATAAACTTAATAACTATATTTAACATTACTTATTCTCATTTTCTGTTAAGCATTTTAAAGATTTTTTTGTCAAACCAGTAAAATTTTATTAATATCGAGTTCATTGGATACAAAATCGAGTTGTCTGAACTTCCCTGGGGTATGAACAAAGATTCGTTGGTGATTATTCAGTGAAAAAAACCACACAACCCTACGCTGTAAGTGTGCGTGTTTCTTGTATCTACTTTCCAAGTAATCATTTATATAATCTCCCTTCTCCGTAAGTGCTTATCTGTTTATGTTTACCCTTCCTGATTTCTAAGAACTCGCTTATCTATCCATAGCTGTCTGGTGAAGCCTCACTTCCTAAGTAGTCTCTCATATCTTGTGCTAAGTAGCCTCTTGCTATGTTAGGAAACCTCTTGATCTACCTATGTAAAGTAGTCCCTCATTTTCGGTGTTCTGCGTGCTTTTCTTCTTAATACCCAAGCGTCAACAGCTTCATCTTCGTATCGTCTCAAACAACTAGTGCATAACGTTTTCGGAATGTATTCACTGTAGTGCAAGACAGACTACCACATAACCCAAGCCTCCTTTCAGCACCCTATTTAAACCACCCAGATGCAAAATACATATAAAAGTAATCCTTAAACACGTACAACTTCCCAATTCCTGATGATCTCTTATAAGATCTGTTCTGAAGGACTATGGCCCTTAAAAAAATAGACTGCCTTTCTTTATGTCAGCTACCCCAAGACAAGTCGAAACAAGAAGGCTCGTTAAAGAACAGCTTATTCCCTAATCCAGCTGTTCTTCACAATATTGGTTGTAACTCAGTACTTGGTCACGAGAGGTTTTCCACTGGATAGCAAGCAACAGGCCCGCCCGGGTGCCTGACAGGCACATCTGACATTTAAATTTCAAATGTATTATTTGTTGTATATTTACTGGAACGAATCTCGAAATAATACGGAATGTTGCTTTGTTTTAGTTTTCACGGCACTTTTTTTTTTTTTTTGGTAGACCAAACACGGGAATAGTGATGTGGGCACCTGTATTGTTATTGTACTGAGTCCTGAGAAAGTCTCTGACGAGCACTGTCCTAATAGATTCCAGCCTCAGTGTCGAAGCTATTCACTTCGACAAAGTACCACGGTGTAACTCGTTTAAGCTCGGCAAAATTACCTTGCTATACCTATACTGCAGTTAAGTTAAACTTCATCTATGACCGACGAGATATATGCACACACCCGCCAGGAGCTGTGGCTTAACCCCTGCAGCAGCATATAGGTGAGCGCGCACGTACGTTAGAGCGTACGCTCACACACATTAAAATGCTTATTAAGAAAGTGCAAGATCAACCAGACTGTGGATATGCATGCCGTTAGCAGCAAAACAAAAGGGTGGTTGATCATGCAAGCACCAGACAGTTCTGGCCCAAGGGTGGGCACCGAAGTAGAAAAACGCAAATATATATCCAAGGTTATCATAGCACCAGAGGTGCCCACAGCAATAGCTATTGCAGATATGTCCATTAGGCAAATCTAAGTTAATTTTTTGGAAAATCAACAATTCCAAAATAGCAGAAACAGCCTGAGACCTACATCTTCAGGCATGTAAACCTTGTACCTCCATGCTTCTCCCATGTCCTTCCATACGTGTTGTGTACAAACTTACTCACAGGAAGTGAGATCATCGTTATCTCCCAAAGAGATGCTGCGCACCCAGATGTTGTTTACATTTAGAGGGCCATCCCATCTAAATACAGCCTTACCATATCCTATATATTTTTTTTTTGTTCGAGACCTCAGCAGCAACAGCTGGTAGTGGAAGTGTCGCTACGTACGTGAGGGTTATAGTGAATTTGTAGGAGAGATGGGGTAAGGGAGGTGAAGGGTATTATGAGTGTGTAGTTTTTAAACATGTATGCGTAAGTACAATGATGAACCTCTTTTTTTTTTGAGGCCGCATCCTCTTTTTTCATATATATATTATCTCGCTACCCTTGTCAAAAAAAAAAAATTACATTTTATACTTGTATATAGAAAACAAGTATCATTTCACTAGTCACTGAACCAGTAGACATAATCACATAACAGTATGACATCTTGTACCCTGAGAGCGTGCATATAACCCGGGTTCAGAACCACACTGTAAGTATATGGCTACGCCAGTAAGAGGGTTTTAGTCTATATATGATATTACCTGCGTTTGATTATCTGTGATTAACTAAAGGAGGAGTAGAGTTATATATATATTTTACAAATTTCCAGTGGTTGCAGCATTTACTACCCTCTCGAACATCCCATTCCCTTGTTACTACTACTGCTGTTGCTGCTACTTACTAAGTAAGTTTATTCAGGTATACACAAATACAGTTACACAGAATTATCATACATAGCAGCTTATGTGTAGAGAACCTAGGATAACCCAAAAAAGTCAGACAGAGTGACTTATTTCCATTGGGGTCCTTTACTCCTACTACTGGAAGACATGCTCAGTTTACAACCGTAGCTTTAGTTTTTGTCCATATTGAGAGAGTACGTGCGCGTTTATGTACAACAGAGATTTAATGAATCTTAGTAAATGTGTAGGGAGCTTTGCCACCCACGTGACCTCTGCCACATAAGTGACTGTCTGCAACCCTGCACATAATAAAATTTAACCTCAATTTGTTTTTAAAGAGATGGACCGGTAAGCCAGCGGAAGGCCTCGGTCAGATGACCAAAAGCTCCAGTGGCAGGTCATCATATGACAAAGACCCGCGTCAACACATACCTATCTAACCTTATGTCAGCATGCCATCTTTATACAAGTGGGAACGGGCCATGAAATGGGAGGAGAGGAACCGGAGATTAAGAAGTTGAAGAGAAGGCGACAGGGGAGAAGGAAATGGAAGAGACAAGAGATTGGAGGGGGAAGGGACCACGAGGAGGTGCTTAAGTTATGCCCACCACCAAATTGTCTGAGTTACTATTGTTCGAAGATGTCATCATCTGATGGCTTCATTACAACCACTTCACTTGTCACTGTTCATGGAAAACAGTGAGTGAAAACCATTTGATAGCAACTAGTTGCTGGACTGGCTGGATGCTCTTTACGAACTCATTCCGCCTAAAGGCCCATGAGGAATGCACTTTTCACTGACCGCTATGTAACTATTACTTTTTTTTTTTTTTGCTTCGTAGTCCCTATTGTTAACAAAATTCGGCAGAACCACGTCGTGTAGGTACCCTGATCTATGACATTTTACGCTGTTAAAGTATGATCTAACAATGTTTACCAAATTGGATTGTATAAGATTTATCACTAATCTCAAAACAATTTCAGCGCCGTTTTTGTTTATCATCTTTCACGCATACCATCACAGTAAGCCAGATACAATAGTAAATGAGATTCCTGACTTCACCGGTATCATAATTATTCACAAACTTCGGCTGCGAATTTAAAAGACTACAAGATGACTATTCCAATTATTAACCAAGGATAATCAAAGAGAGCCAAACAGTGGCTAATTTCCTTGAGTGCTTTAGTCGTACACTAAGATGCTACTCAAAACAGTTAACAAACTCTTACGTATCTATTATTTACTGTTAGACGAATGGGAATGGTCAGAAGATGTTAACTTGCCCATACGTCCAGCCACACCTAAGAGGCGGGACGACTGAACATTTCCGAAAACAAACATGACGCCTAGTTTCGCAAGCGGACTTTTTTTCTTTGTTTATTTTAATTATCAGGAGATACCCACCATTACAAATTCCAACAGGTGTGAAATTCTGACACTGGCAAAAACTAAGAACACATTCTAAAGTACTGAATATTCCTCTCAGAACACTCTCTCACACTGGCCGTATGAGTAATATTTGAGAATAACACGCATTCAAAACTTTGAAAATAATGCAAATATTTTTCGATAGAGACCCTCTTCAGAAGGTGGCTTGAAGAGGGTCTCTATTGAGAAAGAAAATATTTTTGCTGTTTTCTTACTGCTTAATGTGGGGTTTTCTTTTACAGAAATACACATGTTTACTAAATACAAATACAATCTTTTAATAAACGCAGTGAAGAGTCTAAACATAGAAAGCTATCATTATCAGATAGGAAACTTTTGTCATATTAATTAAGGTCC